TCATTTTGTGGGAAGGGTGAGAAATTGTGCAGTTGTAAGTGGAGCTTTGTCTCGATGGGTGAGAAGGCAGAGTTGTGTTATTATGTGGAAGCTCAACTGTGTGTGTGGCAGCTGGGTGGCCAAAGTGTGGACTGTGCTCATTATCAGTTTGTTGCCTCTTGGTCCCCAATCTACCCTGTATTTCCCCTGCTTTGTGGTCCTGGAGCTGAAGCCCATAAACATCTCCTCTCGCATGTGGCGCAGTGTCAGTAACTGAAGGGGACACTGCAGACACAGCAGAGGGCAGGGCTTGTCTTGTCAGTCTGATGCTGTTCTTCTGGATCCTACGATGGGACAGCCAGTGGCCTGCACAGGGTCCAAGATTTCTCTTTTTTTTTTGTGAACGTGTCTAGCATCGCAGCAGGCTGTTTTCCAGAGGCTTGCTTCCCGTGGAATCTTGCAGTCCTCCAGTGGGTGGTGTCCTGCCCAGCAGCCTTGGCTGGTGACACATTGGAGAACTTCTTCACTTTCCAGGGGCTACAGTCCCCTTTTGCCCAACAAGCTCTGAATCCCAGATCCTCTCTAACAAGAGTTTTCTCCCAAATTTCTCCTTTGCTTGGGTGTCTGCCTCAGCCCTAGAGGTAACGTGTGCCCCCCATGTCTGCTGTTCCTCTATTCCTTAGTGTTGGCTTTTTTCCCCTTCTTTAATAGTTAATTAGCTTTTCTAGTTAAGAATTTCTCATCTAATTTTCCCTGTTCAAATGACTTGTGTGGCTTCTGTCTCCTGACTGGGCTCTGACTGACGTAAAATCTGAAGTGCAGTGTAGCTTGGAGCGGGGCCCTGCCGTGCCCCCAGCGTGTGGAAGGAGTAGTGGAGGCGCTGACAAGCTCATTAAAGTGGTTCAGCCCAGCAACAAAGTCACAGAAATACATTCTTGGAGTGTTTGTGTGGATTTTAAGTATTCGGTATGTTAATATATTTTCCATTATGCTTATCCCCACTTCCATTTGTCTTGTACCTTTATGATAGTGTATTACTTTTGGGTGAGCTATCGGCATATTTCTCTCAAACTAGAGGAAAAAAAAGAAAGGCACGCATATGATATGAATCATCCACACAAAAGAAGAATAATCTTTGTAAACAAGAGGACTAGTTGCCTGAGTAATTCCAGAAAGAATAATAAGAAGTTCCACTATGAATTTTCTGCCAAGGGAAGAAAAAAGAACCGGGGAAAACAAGGCAGCAGTGTAAATGGAAAAGTATTTCCCTCGACTCAGAATGAGTCACCGTTGTTTTCAGTGTGAAGAGGGAGATGCTAACTTTTGTTTGCTTACGAGACCGCTGTTCCATCTGAGTTGTTCAAGCACTGAGTAGGATTTTCATGTTTAAAATGCATGTTTCATTTGTTGCGACCCTATTTATAATGTTATGTACATTATTGTAAACTTTACACGTTATATGTCTACTTTATGCATGGGGCTGTCCATCCCAGCCATGGAGCTGTACTTGCGAAGAAAGATAAAGGATTTTCAAGGGTCATTTGGACCATACATAAGATTTACCTTCCCAGGAACCACACTCTTTGTGTAAGATGGGGCTACATACCAGTGGCATTGCTGTGGAGAAACATTTATTTTTCACCTTGCCCTCTCCCCTGAACTCTTTCTGTGGTTCATTGCTCATTCAGTTGATGCTCAGGCTCTCTCTCCAGTTTAAATGGAATGTGTTCCATTCGTTGGTCTCACAGAATACTGTTCCTTAACTTCTGAGTAGTTATTTCAATTTACAGTTAATCCTGATTATTTGATTGATGCTGGGGTCTCCTCCAGAATATAAGTCCCATAGGGGACATGCATCCCCAAAGCCTGAGGTTACAAGGGCTGTTACATTATGGTTACTTAATAAATATTTGTTGAATGAATATAACTGCTCATGTTTCCCTCCTTGTGTTTGCTGCTAGAAGCTCAGGTTAATTTGTGGCTTATATATTTCTAATAATTGTAAATTTTGGATATATACTCTGTCTTGATTTTATTTTATATTTTCATTTTCCTTGACTTCATCTCTTCAATTTATTTTCCCTTACTCATTTATTTGGATGGAGGTACTGGGGATTGAACCCAGGACCTTGTGCATGTTAAGCATGCATTCTACTACCGAGCTATTACCCCCGCCCCTTCATTGCTGTTTTGATAGCATTTTTAAAGAGTTGTTCAAAATTGTTATTTAGAATAAGGTAGCTTATAAATAAATATGCAGACATACAATCAGCCAAACATGAGTGAAATATTTCATGTAGTTGAGGAATTGGACTTTCTTGATCACAACCTTCTTCTCATTTTCTCCTTTTTGGCTCTGTAATGCCAAACCCTTCTGTTCTGCTGTCTCAATCATTTCTTTTTCTTGCAGACTCTCCTTGTACTGGCTTTTAAAATGTTGTTTCCTAGGATTTAGTCTTAGATTCTCTTCTCTTTTCATCCTAGATATTATTTCCCATCCGTACTCTAGAAGTCAGCCCTCACCCACATACTCGTGACTTCCACAGCTACGTATCCTGTTCAATCCCTTTCTCAAACTACAGAACTCCCTTTTCATTTAATTTCTAGACACCTGAGGCATCATGTGTCTAGAAATACAAGATTTGGTTTTTAATTTCCATTGAAAGAGGAGGTAAATTAATTGGTAAATAATTTCCATGTTACATTTTAAAATTTAACATCATTTTCTCAAGATTATACATCATAATCAAGTGGGGTTCATCCCAGGGACCCAAGGGTGGTTCAACATATGCAAATCAATCAGTGTAATACATCCCATCAACAAGAGAATGGACAAAAATCACATGATCATCTCAATAGATGCAGAAAAGGCTTTTGATAAAATTCAACATCCATTTATCATAAAAACTCTCACCAAAGTGGTTATAGAGGGAAGATATCTCAACATAATAAAAGCTATATATGACAAACCTACAGCCAGCATAGTACTCAATGGTGAAAAACTCAAAAGCTTCCCACTAAAATCTGGGACAAGACAAGGCTGCTTACTCTCACCACTCCTATTCAACATGGTCTTGGAAGTCCTAGCCACAGCAACCAGGC